TTGTCAGTTTCTATCCAGATTGCCTGAGTGAATGTCTGGAGGTGTAGGCACCTCGGAATGATTGTGTTAAGCTAGCACTAGGTCCCTCCTTCATCCACCTTTATTCTTTTCTTTACAATAAGGCTTTCAAATAAGTCATGGTTGTACGGCAGTGAAGCATTGGTGTTGAACACTGATGTCATGCTGTCGTTGATGATGTGAAGAGTTTTACATACCTCGGTAGTTGCATCAGCTCTGACGGAAATGTGTTCGATGAAGTAGGTGCATACTGTATCCTCGTGGATAATGTACCAGCTAGACGCGGTAGTTCACAGAACTGGAGAAAACAAACAACTTCGAGGAACTTATACTGCAAACAAGTTGATCGTTCCGTGATGTGGAATTTAACTCAAGCAGAATTGAAAAGGGCTAAAGTCTAATAGAATGTCAGTGAGAGGCTGCAATGTAGAAACAAGGTTTTAGTGTGCAATACAAATCGTTAGCAAAGTGGATTTGTCTGTTTAGAGGTAGTCCTCCTAACAGTGTAAAATTCTCAGGCTCGAACCACGTTTGCTAATTTGCTCACTTGCGGCTTCAAAAATGGTCACGTGTACCAGGCTATAGTAAGGGCAATGTTATTGTATGGGTGCAAGACGTGGCCATGGGGTGTAAGGCGTCTCCAGGTTTTTGACCACTGATGCTTGATAACCGTCACGAAGAGACGACCTTACCGTTGTGCGACGGTTTGCGCACCTCAGTGACCCATTCAGCTCTACTGAGGGGGTGTCCCGCGACACTCAGTCTCTCATACCAGGTTGGTCAATGGTTAGACGTCTGTCGAACACAGTATCCTGGTCCTCCAGATTGGGGGCGAAATGGCCCAAGTGGTTAGAGCGCGAATTTACTGACCGGAAGGTCCGTGGTTCGAACCCGACCTCTGCTACTCGACTTCCCCTGTCTAGGCTTGGGCGACCTGACAGTATCCCAGCCCTCGTGCCTGCTTCGTGTGGCATGGCAGCTAGGCACCGAAAGGGTGCTACAGCTGAACGACTCCAGATTGGGGTTTGGGACATGTGGCGACTTTTCCGTAGAGATAGCAGTGCATTTGCATTTCCCGGGGTGAAATGAATCAGGTGATTAGAGCGCGAATTTACTGACCGGAAGGTCAGTAAAGGGTGTTACAGCTGAAAGATTTGTTGTGTTATGAGCATTTAACCACATACCAGGCACTAACTTGCTGCAGTATGTCCGTACTGAAGTTGTCCATGAGCCAGCACTGGGTAGTGAGTCAGATTTGCTAGCGAAATTAAAGTTAAAGGTTAAAGTGGTCGGAGAATGTACTATGTGATTCTCGGTGTTTCAGTATGGACTGGCTTCAGAACGAAATCTCCATTAAAAACTCCCAACTCTCACACTGCCAACAATTTAATACGTATGCCCGACCGCTGCCTGTCAAGAAGAGCCATGCTTTCTACTTTTTATCCTTTTTGGTCTTCAGTTCACAGAGGACAGATCATGGTAAAATGAAATCCGTTGCTAACAAGTTAGGCGCCACAAGTTCCTAGCGCCTTCGCGGGTGCGTTGTACGCGATTCTCCCTGCGCATTGTCGGGACACGTAACTGAACCCAGTAATGACTTTCCTGCCACCTCCTAGCCGGAACCTCTAGTTAAAGTTTGTCGTCGTTTGCCCAACTTTCTTGTGGGGTTCGCGAAGGACACCTGATCAATCTATTTGATGATGTCTTGATCCTGCGTGATGCCCATACATGTTTATTTCAGCAGTTTTGCAGAGGCAGATAACTTGATCTTGACCGTCTCCTCTAGGGGCATGAAGCTTTTCTTCGCACTCTTTACTGATATCTTCATGGTTGTATGGCAGCTAATTACCAGTTGCTGCTATAATCCTGTGCATGGTGCTGAGGGCGACAAGTTTCGTTCCATGCTGCCCCGTCGTTTTGTTCGACAGTGGATTCCTGGTTGTAATAAACATCACACCCAGTATTTGTCTGTCTTATTGATCTTATTAGAAAGGGTAGATAGCTGGAATCTAGGATCGCCTTCATGTCCCTTCTCTGTTCGCTGTCATTCCAGACTCTCCCTATTATGGTATCGGATGACTCGACGTCTGAAGAAGATCTGGACCAGCCCGTGGTTTCACAAGTGAGAAAAGTCGCTCTTACCACATTCCCTCGGCATTGGGATACTTTACCAATCCAGCATGTCACGACAACGGGAATAAGCCACAAATTTTCTGATGCTTTTGCTTCGCTTCACCTTCAGGCAGAATACTGGTGGCGAAAAACCAAGCCTGCTTATGACGGGTTTAAAACGCAGTGGTTAAAGCACTTTGGCCTGGAAGATGACCGACACGAGTTGACCGAATATCAACTGGTGCGGGAGATCCTTTGGGTTTTGTTAGGTGCTCGCTCTTCTTTCATTTTTTGTGTGTTCTATCACCCACACAAGTTGTTCGCCAATCGGTTTTCTCCTGCTTCCCGTGTAAGTTTAGCCAATATGGCCTACCCGACACTGGACTCCCTCTTAATTTTGTTCGGTCGTTTTGCCAGTTTAACCTTGCTTCTCCGCACGTTTGTACAATTTATTGAGAACACCGCTGCTTCTCTTCATCCCTGCCTCGTTGCTTTCGGTACATGTTTGGGCGACTACCTCGGTGAATTTGATCAGGTTTTACAAACGCTTGAAACTGAAGCTCGTGGTCCCGAAACATTCACTCTTACCACATTGTATTTCAAGTTGTTATTGTGGGATCGTCGGACAGATATTCTTGCAAATTTAGTCAGTCGTCTAACTGCTGGTCATACATCCAGCTTGCAGGAGGCCAACGTACACATTCGTCTATTGAACTTGCTATATTACGTGGCGAACACATTTGGTGACTGCAGTAGCGATGTTTCATTTCTGGATACACTGAACACCTTCTTTTTTCGTACTTTTCTACCCTTTATGTATACAACAGTGCAGCTCTTGTCCGGATGTGCTTCTATGTTGGAGTATTCCCATTCCCTTTTCCCCAATGCGAAGGACTCCTGTGCAGTGACGGATCCCGATTTCTGTCAACGAGCATTCTTTGGTGAGCCGACTGCAATAAACTCGCTCATATCATCGAATGGCGATCAAGTTCCCGAAATTTTCCATTCAGTTTTGGATGAGTTACTTTCCGGGCTGAAATCCCTCTGTATCCTCACTGCTTTAGCTGCTGGAGCTTCCCAATCATCCGTCTTGGGACCGATCGTCTTGAAGACGGAAGACATTTTTGTGCATCTTACAGCACCTGTCGTACAACCACAGAAAAGCCATGCAACCAATGGCCGAATTATACATAATGATGACCATATTGCCTCGGTCAAATCGTGGGTCGAACCAGATATTCTCTCTCTTCGTCAGGAGTTGATCGATTCTGTGAGAACGCCCGTGGCGCAAGAAACGAGACCCGGACATACCAGTTTCAGTGAGTTCACTCGAAACAATGACCATCTAAACTTACTGCAAAAAAACTTGAAACGTTTCATCGTTGAGCGCAGTCGTACACTCAACCAGCACCTGATGCGCATGCTACTGGAGCCCAGTCCTGTTCAGTTCGGATCCCATCGAAGTCTTGGAACTGCTCTAGCTGCGGTTGGGGCTGTTTATCTGTTTGGCACAGGTGATCGAGTGAATGACTTTTCGCGTCAACTTTTTTCGCACATTTTCAATTCAGAACCCTGGTATCGTGATTTGGTGGGCCTCACATTACGTCTACGATCGCAATTTGAGACACACCTGGTGCCAAAATTTTTGTACCGGGAAATATCTATGTTCACTTTTGCTTCTATCTCGCAGTCAGATTTAGGTGGGTCCACAGCTGTTGAGCAAACCCTTCGTTGTTTCAGTCTGGTTCATCTCACCTACTGCACCACTTGGCCGGTCAACATCGTCCTTACGGAGAGCAACCTCACAACGTACAATAGCATATTCACCTTCATGCTAAAGGTACGTCTGTTCAGTTGCAGTCCTTTCACCTAATCCAGCACGCCGATGTTATTCCGTCGCATAGTTTTACGCCTCAGGTTTGTTGTGTAATAATCATGAACCCATGTTTTCCACACACTAAGGTTTCTCGCAAACGGAAACAGTTGTAAACCGTACAAAGCTATCTTTCACAAGAGAAAACACGGATTGTTGAATTTGTCGTAGAAATTTGCGGAAATTACCGCTCTGAAGAGGTTATACAGTTGATTTTTCAGTATGGCTTATTTAGAAACTAGATCGCCAAAGCGAATTTTCGGCTTCGGGCTTCTGCATCACCAATCCCCATCGGCTAAGTTTCGTTTGTTGGAGTGATTCAGTCTGTTTGGTGCAATACTCAAGCCTGGTGTAGTTGTGTGGCGACGATCATGATAAGTCCGCACTGTGTACGAGCTCAAACCAGTTTTAAAACGACTTACCCATATTCTTAAAGTCAGTTCTCTATGTTACTTACTAGACAACTCAATGTCCTCCCTAATGGTCCGAAATTAGCACGGACTTAGTACAAGCCTGTATTGGAGCCAGTTACCACTTACCTCGCCATCGGCTGCGAATGCACACTTTCCATCCAGTAAGTTAGCCTCGTTAATATGTGTCACAGCTGCTCGTCTGGCTCCACACATTATCATCAGCCGTAGGGACGGCGTATTTGCCGCACATTGGTTGTAGCTGCCACAGTTTCGTTCACTGATGATGTATGGCTACGCATTGGAGGTGGTAGTTTATATAATAGATGAAAAATACAGTGGGATCAGTGGACTTCCCATTCAGAGGATTAAGAGTGGAGCTATGCATTGAAAGCAATAGCTTGGATGCATGAGCGCCATTGAGGGTGCGACTGGACTATGTCTGACAATGTACCTAACCACTGATGTGTCCTGTCTCGGGTTCCTCATCCTGGGCGGCAGCAATGACCAGCTCAGCTGAGTTGTCTGGCAAGGGCTGTCATACTTCGCCGTCAAGTCATTGCTTGACCTCCTCTGGCACTTTCCACCCTTCACGTGGCTGTGCGTAAAGAGCCCTTCGAGGAATTCGGTCGACTGGCATACAGAATACATGGCTAAGCCAGCGCAACCTATGCAGTTCATCTATCGTGGGTGAGTTATTCCGAAAACCATTCGACGTACTTCAGCATTACTGATCGCGTGTTCTCACTAGACTCGGACAATGTTCCGAAGATAACTATGGTCAGACACTGAAGGTCTTTTGACATCCTCGACACGCAGCCGCCAGCTTTCTGACCCGTATAGTGATATAGAGTGCACCTTAGTATTGTAAACTCGACCCTTGGCGGATAAGTTAATGTCAAGCCTACGCCACAGGTGATGCAGGTTCACAAAAGCTGCTTTGGCCTTCCCAATCAGGATAGAAATATCATCTTTCACGAGACCACCGGGACTGATACCGCTGCCCAGGTAGACAAATTCGTCTATACCTCAATCAGCTCATCCACAAGCATGAGACTAAGGCTCGAGCGTATCCAGTTCTGCAGTAACACTTTACACTTTACGGGTGTGAAGCGCATGCCAAACCTGAGGAAGGATTATTTAGATTATTTCCTATTGTTTGCATTACCATGGCTTCGGATCCATGAAGAGCTATGCCGTGTGCGTACTCGGTATCTGTGAGAGGACATCTTGAGAGCACTTCGACCCCACAGCGATGAATCATCATCATCATCGACAGCATGACATCAGTGTTCAACACCGATGCTTCACTGCCATACATGGTTGTAAGAGGGCTGGGATACTGCTGGGGCGCCCGCACCTAGACAGTAGACAGCGATGAATATTGACATTCTTGTCGCCGGGGGGAAACGACTTTCTGCCTTCACACTCCTATCGCAGAGGACGGTGCGATTTTCCCCAGGTCGCATCGTAACCTGGTTACTCGTAGTGCGGGGTCTCGCTGCTCTTATATGAGGTCTCTCGTTCAGTCTTGAATCTTCTTTCCTCCCTAACATGTAGCCCACTTACAGTGTTGTGCGAAAATGATTAACACAACCGTAGCCCATGAACAACAGTTTGTTTCGTTTTGAAAGGGACAGGTTATGTCAAATAGTGATGACTGCTAATCGCTCACTCACTCATGGATAGCTAAAGAACGCCTAAATTTTGAAGAGTTTATTGGGCACCAGTATTGATATCAAGTTGTTCAGTCGCGACGGCCCCGGCTGTTCGTATAAGTCTTAGTGGGGTGGGGGCAAGATGACTCGGTTACTAGAGGGCGAATTTACAGGTCAGAATGTCCGTGGTTTTGAGCCCAACCTGGCAGTATCCCAGCCCTCGTGCTTCCTTCTGGAGACATGGCAGTTAGGTACCGCAAGAGTGCTACAGCTGAACCAACAATAAGTCTTAGTTTAGCCTACTCAGTTCTGGATGTATCAGTGTACACCGGTAAACATGTAAACAGCTGGCATTGCGAATGATCAATGCCTTTGTTATATGACTTCAGTTTACACCATTCCGCCGCTTTCTGTCACACTACCGGATTCAATGCCTGTCCAGCGCTATTCACACCACTCCACTGCGACAGCAACTGTACGTGCAGAGCTTGCTGAGCCATATGGTGAATGCTAGTGCTTCTCATAAGGGAAACGTGAACTGCCCGAATGTACGAACTTGTTTCAATGCCTGAAGATAGACTAAGGTTCGCCAGATGTACCAAAGCAAACTGTACTCCACAACACTGTCCTGCGAGAACAGGAAAGTCGCGGTATGATCCGTTAGCTCACTTGTGCGAATGATTGAGAAGGTTATCGGATTTGTACCGAGAATGCATCCCTACAAAATATGGAGATTTATTCATATTGTGCTATGACTGAAAAATTAACCGTTTCCTCTTACTGGAAGGACATCTATAGTCTTCCTATGGAAGAGATCTTTTTCATCCACGTTAACAGAAAAATCTGGGAGCCGGATAACAGTCCCCGTGAGAGACTACTCTTTGTATGGGTAACCTTGTAAGGATGCTGACTGCAATAAGACCTACTAAACCTTGGCGTTCACCCTGTGCGTGCTACCTTTCAGCAGGCACCCCGAGAACCGATGTAAACGAAGCGATTGCTATCAGCTTTCGTCCATATATTTTCGCGTGTCGTAAAGAGTTATCGAAAGCTTGGGGTGCTTTCGATGAGCCACTTCCATCTCACTATCAGAAATAGTTTTACAGTTTTTGTGCGGCAGATAAGCACCCCTACGTTGCTGAAAGTTGCGAGCTCCCACGAAGACCTGACACCAGCGAGCTTCGGAACCTCCGACCGGGGTCGATTACTTTATCGCTTCAAACCACCTATTGATGACGCGCTTGGCATCTCCCCCCCCCCAACTTCCATACAGCGCATCACCAGTTTTCAGCTTGATCATTAAGCATACCTCTTGTTTGCTGTATTTCCAAAGTACTGCGGATATACCCATTCACTGTGCTGTCTGAAAGTTCTCTTGTTATTAGAAAACTCAGAGTGCGCTTTCTCAATCCAAGAGGTAGGTAATATGATGTCACGATCATACTTTTCCTTTCCGATTTACAATCCTCCCTTTCATTCTCTTCCTAATTAGATTAAATATGCTAAGTGGAGCCTGGAAACGCTTCGCTTCCCCCAACTCGACTACTTGTCTTCCATCGACCCCGACACCTATCACCGCATGTTGCTACTGCGCTTGAATATGCTCTACATTTTCACTGGTCTACACGATTTTCTTATGCACCGTATCGAGGCGCTACGCGTGAAATTCGCACAGCATTGGCGTTTACCAGGTTGTTCGCTCACCCCAGCATCCGATACGGGCTCGGCTGTACCGTATGGTGACTTGCCCGAACTAATCCAATCGCACAATGTTTTGCTTCATACACTCCAGTCTGTTTGCCTGTTGACCGAGTCGTCTTCAATGCTGCGGACCGAAATTGATAATATCTGTCAAATGGCCTTCACACTCAAGACTCTGTGGTCGCCATCTCACTCCAGGCCGCTTGATTTGGCACCAAGACTGACACAATTAGCCAGTCTTTTTCATAATCACGTTAAGTTCTTGGCCCGCTTGTTTTACGGTTCTGTGCGCTTGAGCAACGTGAAGCGCTTGTTACCCTTAGCCGAAACTTTTCGCCTAGCTTCAAACTTTACCAGCCGCATGTGATTTTTTCTATTCTTTTCATTCGCACATTACTTTCTTCCTTTTGTACGCATATACATACTGCAAGATTACAATGTTGTTCTCCCTTGCACCCGGTTTATTCTACCCTTCGCGCAACACTACTTTTCACTCGGCTAATCTTTATAGTCTTCTTCCAGGTCATATATCATGGATAATAAATCCTCCGTGCACAGCCGTCCTCCAATCGCCTCAACTCCCTGTCGCAGTCGAAACAGCGAGCATGACTCGCGTACCTCTGAACATTCAAAAGACGACGATGGTACACTGGCCCCCTTACCCTCGGTTACCAACAACGTTGCAACGCGATTTGCCTCTCGTCCCTCCCAGTCGCTCCGGCACAGTTTGGGTCGTCTCTCCTTACGTGGGCGTGCTGTATGGACTTCGCAACGGACAAGCAAACTTTTCGAATTGCTTACTCGACCAGCTCTCCTTTTCACACCTAGTCGTGGCATTCGGTTGCCTTTCGCTCTCAAGAAAAGCGACGGAGATGGAGCCAGATCGCATCGTCTGTCCATTCGCAAACGAAATCAGCCAATTGATCCTGATCCCTGTCTACTTTCGCTAGACGGTCTGCTTGATTGTCTCTATGCCATGAGTAATTTGGTCGATCAGGTGTATTACGACTGCAAAGAGAATGAGGATGACCAGACGGAAACTCATAGCTACGATCACTCGCCAACCTTATTGGCAGCCAATTTTTTTCGAAAACGCGGTAAGCGCTCGATGGTCCCATTTTAATCACTTCTGTTGATTATTTCATAGCGCGATCCCTTACCTGTGGACCTACTGGTTCGGGAACCCTTATATATATATGGTAGCCCATGAAGCCTTACAGAAAATCCTTGTATCAGTGAAACCTTTACGGTGCCACTCCCTCTGGCAAACTCGTGCTCGTTATTGGTATCCGCTTCACACCTGCAAAAAATATTTCAGTGGCAAACCATATAGGCGGTTCGAGGTTTGTGGTGATATTTTTAGTTTCTGGGGAAAGTTTTTAACTAACGGGAGTTTCTTTGTTTATCGCAAAATTTCATACTAGTTTTCTTGTTTTCATTCTGAGGAAAACGAGTAGATTCTCACCGGACAGCTTGCAGTCGGCCTTCAGACGAAATTTTGTTGTGCTATGCCCCTTCAATGGATGCAGGCGGAATCGATAAAGATTCATTTAAACCCCACATAAGTATATTTTTCCCGGTTGTTGTCGTTTTACAGCAAACTTGGTGGATGATCCATGTGTTCACCAGGTTCACCTCATATTTTTTAGAATAGAAAACCGTAAATTATATGTGCACTTGTGAACAGATAGTACAAACGCGCAATAGCCTGGATCGGAACGATGAACTGAGGCAGCACATATTGAACCCTCTTTCGCATGATACAGGGACCGCTATTCAAAAGTATAAATGGCCTGGTGTGACGTAGTCAAAGCAGACGACACGCATAGAGGTCAGGTAAGATACACGATCAGAAATTGATTCAAGTCTGTTTCGAACGTGCAATGTACTGTCATTTGAAAACCAGCGGTTTAGCGTCCTACTCCGTGTTTGGCTATTGGTATGAGCCCACGCTATGGAGCGCATGTGAGCCAGTGTTTTTTTTCTGTCCTTTTCAATGCATCAGTTCATAACAACTTTTAGTGATGTCGTAATTCTCACCCACACAGCTTTACAATGCTCCATTTGGTGGCTGCGGACATCGCACTGTTTATCGAATCATCATAGCCAGATGGATAGCGTAATTGCGTATGTTGTTTTTCACATCGGAGGGGTCTAGTTCTGTTCGCTAACCATTTCATTAATGGTCCCCAAGACCTTACATGAGCAAGGCTGGATTAACCCGAATGAATAAATGTGAATATATCAAGTGAATTCTTGGTGTCTGAGTTACGGGCCCCATGGGATCTTCCCGTGGCGGGTTTGTAACCGGTTTGGGAGTGCTTCTGTACGTACCTACTATTCCGGCACTTTATCTCATGTTCGTCGGTTCTTATGGCATGATTTTCCAAACCATTCAGTCTAGTTGTCATCCGACTACTTCGTGTGTACCCGGTGCTCCATCTGGTGTTACTGGGATTTAAATTCAGCACATTGAGGGTTTTTCAGTGTGTCATTCGAATGGGACATTTCCCCTTCCTCCCCCAGAGAGAACTGTACGGGTTTCTAAACAGACAACTCCACCCTCTTTGGGAGGCAGTACTGGTATAGCGATTTTTCCTGCTGGGACATTTCTGTATGGTGCTATAGGCTCAACTGATGATTGACCTCAAGATGCATGCACCGTAATAGCTGGTGAACTTGTACGACAACACTACCGACTAAATGGTTGAAAGCGGGCGCAAACACTCCCGGCAGGCTAGAAACTTGAAAACACCAACATTCGTCATCAACTATAGCCAACGACAAGGATAATAATTCACGGAGTGACTTTGTGAAATTCGATGCCCCAACTTGCTGATCATGGAGAATAATGTAGATACGATAAACTTAGCCCTAACCTGTGATAAGTAGATTACCCAACCGACCGAACTACATAAATCGTTTCCAACAGATGATTGCTATCGTCACTGACCGTCTCGTCTCCATTTGCGGTCCCTTAAACCACCGAACGACTTCCAGCGTCTACCGTGGTAGGTTTTGTTTGCTTATACTTCATTACTGTTTTTTTCGGTGTATTTAACTTCTCATGGTTTTTAGTTACTCGGGTTTTTCCTCCTCATTTCAGTAAAGCCTGCTCTGACCCGGTTGAACGAGATGCGTGTCCAGTTATCCGACTTCAAGTTGGGGAAGTTTATCGGTCGAGGGGCTTGTGGTGTAGTACGCGTTGTTCACGAGGTTGCACCACCAGGGTCGGTGTATGCGATGAAATCACAGTACAAGGGTGCATGGTTGCATCACGACCCGGTAAGTGCATATTCGTTTCTCCACGCGGCACCAAAAACTTACTTGTTCCTTTTATCGGTAAGCGGAATGACCCCTGAACACAGCAGGTCCTGGTTGTCCTGCTAGCACTTGTCTTAGCAAAATAAACCCTCAAGGGGTATCCTTTCCAAAGTGTGCAGTCTTGATCTCATTTCAATTAGGAAGAATCCTCGCTGTATCCGAACAGCTATGTTACGTGTAATTAGATACTAATTAGGGTTCGAGGTTGAAAATAACAAAAGGCTACTCCTGGCACCGTTGATAGTGTGAATACATGCCTGTCCTGCTACTGCCCAACACGTACGACCGGCACAGTTTGTGCACCAGTCTATCTCATCATCATCAACAGCATGACATCAGTGTTCAACACTGATGACTCGCTGCCGTACAACAACTCGCTTCCCAAGTGCCTCGATACGGATTCGCCAGCACCAACCCACACGAGCTGCGGTTCTGAGACAACGGTTGTCGAACACCTGAAGACTCTCAGTTCTGCTGCTCGAACAGGCCAATTCTCAGCCATACAACAAAACAGCCCGTACTGTAGCTTGATACACACGTCCCTTGAGATCCAGGGATGCACCACTCTGACGCCATAGGTGTTTCAAACCAGCAAACACGACCCGAGTCTTGAAGATTCAGACATTGACTTCATCTGTCAACTGCAATCGGAACTAATACAACTTCCAAGGTGTGTGAAACGCTCCACAACTCCAAATGCCTCTGCCTGGATTGTAAGTGGCGTGTTCAGTTACTTCACGTTTATGAGCATGACCTTACACTTTCTGGGTCCAAAGAACATACCAAAGGACGGGATGACTTTGGTCAGTTCCTCCAAAAACACCTGCGCCTTCTCTTCGAGAATGAGAACGATGTTGTCTGTGTACTGCAGATCGATAAAGTTTTCTCCACAGGCTATTTGAATGCCAGGGTTTTGGAGACCTTCCAGCGTTCGTCTATCTATTGAAGGCGATATTCATGATCATGCCATCCCGCTTAGGGCAAACGAGCCTTCAGTATCTCTCATTTCGACATAACATCTCACTACCTATTACGTGCGCGTCAATCCAGATTAAGAGCACACGACGTTTTAGATATCCTTTATCGTGTGATTTTTACAATTTCAACGGTCTTATAATTTTAGATGACCTGCCAAAACCGCGAACATGGTTTTGGGGACATAATAGCAACCCCTTCGACATCATACTGCGGCAAGCGAAGACCATACAATGGCTATACAATTGACAAAACTATACTATACTGACTGATAGTGCAGTAACGCTACTGCATCATTGTCCTATATTGCAATCGCCTCGAATGACTGGATGATAAAGCATGTTCTTGACTACCTAGGTGTTCGACTATGTTCAAACGCCTGGGCTACTGATCTCAAATTGCTATGATGATTTTATTGCTTTGAACGATCGTACACCTGAATTGTAAGTGTCATTGGATCCCACTGCACTTTATTTGTCGGCTTAGAAAAGTACCTGCCTTCCTCAGTACTTACGAGCCACTCCACTCAGTGACCGGTCGAGACACATAACTCGATTTTTATCCACACCTTGTGCGAAAAACTTTATGTCAAGAATCCTAACTAGCTTCACGTTGACGGGCGCTTTTTATAAGTACAGCGTTCAACCCATCAGTGTTAGCTTTTTTCAAACTTGTCCTCCACAGGAGGGATCCCAGCTGATGTTGGAACGCACCGTTTTGGCACAGGCAGCCGCAATCGAAAATCCATGGTTACCTCATCTGCATTACGCGTTCCAAGACGAGAAACATCTCCACTTGGTAATGGATTATGAGCCTGGTGGTGATTTGTACATATTTCTCAGCAAGTAAGTATCTGTTGCTACATTCGGGACCATCTGTCCGCAATACGACCGCCACTCCAAGGCGACTGAACTCGCTTGGTTCTCGGGATCGCCGATGAAGTGCGAGTGTCATATATGATTGTCTAGCGAATTCTTGAAAAGGTGCTTTTTCAAGTGCCGTTTGTCGTCAAATCACCGCTTCTTTATCAACCAGTGCCACGAAATAATTAGACTAGAGCTTTGAATTATGAACTGCATGACCGGTAGGATTGTATGGGCTTCTTTTATTCTCACCTCAAGGTTGCTTCCATGCCGGCAAGAATCAACTGTAACGTTTGAAATACTACTGGTCGGCCCTTTGCGAGTAGCTAGACGGTTGTAATCTCTGGATAACTGTCTCGTCCGACTTGGATTGGATTTCAAACCGATAAGAATGAACCGCAGTCACGGTTCGGGGAAATAGTTGGCTGGTAATGAACAGCCGGCCAAGCTTGCAGCCTCCATTGTTAGGTATCTGAGTTTGAATTGTTGAGTTTTATGCAGGGCACCGGACCTTAGTAGCTGCACTTAATAGTCCTGGAACCGTATACTTTCTTTTCTTGGACTGACCCGGAAAATCATTATTCGTTGAGTTGTATAGCATTCAACTACTACACAACAACAGACACCGTTCCCGTTGAGTTTCCTCCCTATATAGTAATTCTTTATGGCGTAGTCACATTTCCTATGGTGGTGTCCTTATCGCCCTATTGAGTGTAGGCACCCATAGATAGATGGTTTTGCATTCAGGTGCTTCACCAGTGTTCTCTTACTCAGTCATGTTGTTCCCCTTAAAATGGTCCCGTGTTGTTTCCTTTCCGTCTTTCTGTTGGACCAATCTGCCTGTACGTCAAATCTCCACTGCGATCCTTTGTTTTGTACGATTGCAGAGTTGGACACCTGTTGGACGCGGAAATGATTGCATTCTACGCGGCAGAAGCTATTGAAGCTATACACTCATTGCACCGCATGGGTTATATTCACTGGTACGTGCTTATTTGTTGTTCACATTTCTCGTGTGAGCTAGAGTGTTGTCCATCCTGATCACACAAAACGCGTCCGTTATGCACTGCAATCGATCATTCCATCCCAGGTCGTTGTACGGTTTCGCGTCGTACACGCTATCTGAGCTTCTCCGTTTGTGATCATTCCGTAGCAAAACACCTAATAGATACTGCTTAAAGGCGCAATTCATCTGTCTACTTTGCCGACACTAAAAGGTAAATTCATTGGGCTGGTGAACGTTCACATTGGCTGAACTAGACATCCAGTGTTTAAGTACGAATGCTGTGGACGCATTTTAAGGTAGAACAACGTTTCCTTGACTAGTAACAAGCTGATTCAACCGAAATCGCTGCTGAATTGAGCTGCATAATCGACAAATTGTATCAAGCTTGAATCACAACGTTTTCGGTGCCTGTATTGTACTCCGTTTCCTTCTGGTACAACGTTATTCATGCTCCTCTAACTGTCAGCTGGCTCCTACGCAGCAGTTAGCTGCCTTCCACATATGTTATCTTTAATCGCTTGCTTACTCTACTAGCCAATCCCGCACTGGGGTGAGTTACACTCGTTAGCTGACTTTTCTACCGGTACACTAATCCTTCTGATTAATCGAACTACTACTGTTTTTAAGACATATTTCCAGTGCCCATAGTTAGGCAATTTTGTGGTTACCAGGCGCGCCACTATATCGTGTCTCAATTGTGTCTTCTTGCTTTTTCAGTGACCTAAAGCCGGAGAACTTTGCCATCGAACGCAGTGGTCACCTGAAGTTGTTGGATTTCGGGTCAGCTATTCGATTAGACGCCGATGGTAAAGTAAGTACCATTGGATTACCTCTTTGACGGCGGCGTGTTTTTCTTTAGTTTCGTTATAAACTTGAGCCTTTTTTCGCAAAGGTTCAGAAATCTGGTCCATTTTAGTGGGCTTCCTAGACTAGAATCTAGAAAAGCTACAGAAAGACGAAGAAGAAAAAATTTCTACCATGTGGCGGTCGGTGTTAGACATTTACGGGCGTCCATTAGAATACAGCTTCTATTGAAAGCGTATTTTTATCGAGTAACGTGCTGATTTCCCCTGGTTACCCAGATTCGTACTTTACAACCAAGTTTTCATCAACAAAGCGATATAGGTTACATCGCTTGGTTACATGTCGGTTACATCTCCTGACAGGAAGTGTCCTTGTAGAAGGAATATCCCTGCGTCCTTGGAAAGTGTTCTTGCATGGTTTATTATTTTGCTATTTTCGTCCCCCTCAGAGCTTAAGCAACCCGTCAGACGAATGTATCATGGTCATCATCTTTTTCTTTCGTTCTTCCACTATCAATTTAATGTAGTGCGTTTGCCCTACTATGGTGGGCACCAAAGAGTATTTGAATATCGAACTTCTTCGTCAGAGGGGTCGACACAACGAAGAACCTCTGCTGGTTGGTCCGGAATATGACTACTGGGCCATTGGTGTTCTGCTCTACGAACTGTTTTACAGTCAAACTCCATTCTACGATAAAGATGAAGATCTCATGATGCAAAAGATTGTTGACTACAAGGTATGGTGTGCGCTTGTGTCTTTCCCAACTTACTCTTCACTGTAGAAAACGCTCAAGTTTCCGTCCAATGTGCAAATCCCGGACAATGCCGTCCAACTCATACGTTCTCTGATCACCAGCCCTTCTAAGCGGTTGACCTATGATGGTTGTGTTCGGCACTCCTTTTTCAAGACTATTGATTTTACAACCCTGCGACAAAGTAAGCTGTATTTCTTTTCCGTCACTCATTTTGAGTCTGAGTGTCGGAAAGTAGAACGGGATGGGAGCATAATCGACTCTCCTGACCAGTGTGCGAATTTCCTCATCCAATCATACCAGATGTCATTTTGCTTGGTGCCACAAGGTTTCCGTTAGATTTTGACGCGTCACTGAAGAGAGAATAGTGTAAAACTGTAGTGTTGTTGAGTAATTAGTCGGGAACGTCTAGCTTTCGTTTTGGAAAATGAGTCAATGAGGCCAACTTCTTTATTGACGGGTTGTCTGGCGGCTATCCAAGTGTTTATGAAGATTTTCAGACAAACTAAGCAGTCCAACACTTTGCGCGAGGGGTCATCAGATCGTCCATCCTCGTGGCCTCCTTTGGGAACAATCTACCACATTCGGCTTCTCATTATTCGAGGCGCGTTCTAATCATCTAGGTAGTATTTGCAACATTTTTTCTCTAGGACATTCACTCACGCGATACTGAATAAGTGGAGACAGCCGCACCTTGTACGAACACCAACATTCTGAAGGGGCACACAAATGTTCAGTTCACAAAGGTCGGACTCATACAAATCAATAGTCAGCATACAAACTGATCGGTTGTGGTGGTTTAGTACAGATGCTTCAGTAGAAGACTCATCCTGAACGTGACTGCGATGGTATGCAGTTGGTGATAAATGACCAGAAACAGAATCAAAAACGGCATCCATTTTATCCATGGGAGAATGTGCTATTGGATGTATAACATGCTCGGTTTTGTAGGTTACTTACAAGTTGTATAAAACCCACATACCGCACTCCCAGTCATCACAGACAACCCAAAGCTTGTAAGGAATTCATTCACCTTTTTCTTGCTGTTTCATCCATTTATTTTAGTGGACCACCGTCCTACAGAAAAAACTGCAGATCCTACTTTCGCTTAAATTTTTTACAACTGCTTTTGTCCTCAGCTCCTCGTGTTGACTGGATTTTCTTCTATGCACAACATAGCATAAGATACGTTACTTCACTTGTTTGTCTATTTTCAGCCACACCACCATATCTGCCACCTGTCGGAGAGTTGGATGACGTGTCGAACTTTTCCGGTGGTGGTTCGCGAACTCGCGATGAACTCATAATGGATGTATCAACAAATGAAACATTCTCTCCAATACGAATGAAAGAGACAGCCCGCGAGTCCCTCCACCCGTCAGTCGTGGATACCACCTGCAACCTAGCGGAAGCAGCTGAAGTCACTCTCTTGACGCAGGAACGTACCCATCCAAGCGATGGAGTTGACGAAAAGATGTTTGATGAAAACACCGATCCTATGGTCAATGAGTCTCATGCGGTCGATGATAAATTGGAAACACCTCTTAACAATAGAGAGGCGAAAGTCAAGGCCATTCGTGAGGCCGCCGCCATATCAATACCGGAAGAGTTTGAAGAGATAGAAGATGTCGAATGGGATGGATCAGATTGCGTACGCAACTTACCCTTCGTTGGCTACACCTTCACTCCGGGTCTAGTGCTTCTACGCAAGCTAACCAGTGGCCAAGCAGCAGCAGTTGCCGCCGCTGGCCTTGGGACTGCTATGCTAAATGTGACGAACACTACTCTACCTCTGTATGTTCCCATCTTCAATAGCCCGGTTTTCACTTATCACGTCAACTGCGTCGTCCTCGTTTGTTTAACGTTGCTACTCCTCACAGTTTGTAACACTGGGTGACGTGGTTGAGTCACTAATATCTGACCGCCGTAATCACCCCTTCATAAACCATCCTATAACAACGTAACCCGTCAACGACGTCATAGTCAGCAACTCCCCAGGCTCAAAAAGAGGTCATTTAAATGAACCCTTCTTTTTGGGTGAATGACTGCATTAAGTAAGCACTCTGCTCTACACTATTACTGGAACCATCGTTGAAGAATTCAGTGGGATTCCATTAAAACCAATTTCTACCTTCGTGTGATGAACGTATGTGTGCTGAAAAGGATGTTGTCATCGGCAGTCCTATCAGATCGATGTGCGGTTGCTTGTGCGGGCACTAGATAGGCAACTATGTCGCGCCTTTTCTTGTCACCTTTGTTATTACCTCCCATTCTTACCTAATACTACAACCACCATATCATGCCTGCAATCCGCGGAACACTGCTCCGCTTCCTTTTTTAAACCCTTGCCGCAGTTAAATAAACATATGAAGCAGAAAGACAGACCGTAGTAAAAAAAAAGATCTGTCATGCAGTGCTACAACGACGCATCGTACGTGTTGATCTCGTAGTTTAACTAATCCTGCGTATCGTGTCTCACTGTACTTGTCAGGCAGTGCGGTAGAATTTAGTAGGTAGCACGCTGTCGAGGGTTTTCAGTTTTGGTCCCGTCACACTTCTTGGTCTCTATCGATTCTATTGTGACCATAGCAACACCCGAGTTGTTGTTTGCGCCTGAACGATTGTAGCCATATCAACGTGAATGTCTCGATAATCTGTAACAGGCTTTCTAATACATCTTTTATTAGTTCATGCCCTCAGCATCCGAACCACGACAACCCAAATGACAGTGTGGGACGTCCTTACGGCTCCCTGAACTCTCAATTACAAATATCCTGATTCCAGGGGGGTGCGAGATGGCTTAGTGGTTAGAGCGCGAATTTACTGACCGGAAGGCCATGGTTCGACCTGACCTCTGCATCTGGATTTCCCCTGTCTAGGCTTGGGCAACCTGACAGTATCCCAGCCCTCGTGCTTCCTTCGGATGGCATGGCAGCCAGGTTCTGAAAGGGTGTTACAGCCGAACAATTTACTTTTACTCTGCTTCCGGTGCAGGTATCGAATTTTTTACATGCGGACTGGAGCCAAGTACTTCGTTTTTTTGGAGTCAGATAACTAGAAACTGGGGCAGTCACACATCGAAGGTGACCATTAGCACCATTCTCACGTGCTAGTATATTTACGTTGGACGAAGGGTGACCGTTTTAGTAGAATTTGGGTTTGAAATAACTGCACGATGAAGTTAATATCTCCAATTCACAGGCGTCATTCCAAAGCTGACTTGGCAATGTTTCTCAGTGTTTCTCATCATTGATATGTTCCGTCCGAAAACCTTTATTCAACATAATGTCAGCTGCTTACGCGGCCAAATTTACTCTTTCAGGCTTTAAGCTCCACTGCCAAACTGTGGCCTGATCCCACGTAATTTGTTTGTAATCAGTGTACGTCAAATTTCATGTGATTGACCGTTCTCCGAATCGTAACCGTCCACCCTATTGAACGCAACTTTGTCGCCTACCTTGGGTGGTGTTTTACATGCTGCTGCTCTGCTGAACGCTCAGCCAGCTTAATGCCGGAGGGACAAGCCAGGTCAAAGCGAATGGGAGCTGTATATATGAGCAAGTGCCAAGGCGCGATAGTATGAATCGTTCATCCAGTGACATGACAACCGGTGGTGCATGTCCGATGTGGGCTAGCCGATGAAGGAAAGGTGAGCACACAACGCAATCACACAGGAACACGCGCGCACTAAGCTGGCTGCTACAGGCGAGTTGATTCTCCCAAAAGTCACCTAGCATGCTTCGGCAGCACTAAATTTGGTTACGCTTTCAAGACTGTATACGTTGTTTGAGTCTTTACACCACTTACTAGATTTTTCACTACTAATTTCACCGCTCAGTTTCCTTTCTTCCGCCTTTTGTCTTTGAAGGGACTAAACATTAATTTTTACTGTTCACTTTTCGCACTACCATGGCTTGGCCTCATTTTCACGTGCAGTACACGTCAACAGACCATGCGTACTACAACTTCTCACCTTCAACTGCTTAATGCCACGGTCACTGAGGCTGTGAATACAACGGGACCCTATCTGAATATCACGGAGAATCCGCCGCTCGAATTGTGTGGGAAGTGGTCAGAATTAAGACAACTCTGCGACGTATTGGAGAATCATGCCAGATCCCTTGAGCCGGAACATTCCGAGCACCTTCAGGTAACTAACCCCACTATTATTCTCTTTTTACTGGAAGCTCCGTTGAAATAGGCACCAACGATTAAGCTTACTATTTTACACGGAGGAACACAGTGAAACGAGTATGGTATATATTGGATAAATAAGCTACAAGATCCATAAGTAAGCCGTTTGTTGTGGCAAGATGGCTCAACGGAAGGTCCGTGGTTCTAACCCGACTTCTGCATCTCAACTTCCCTTGCCTAGGTTTGGGCAACCTGGCGGTATCCCAACCGTCGTGCTTCCTTCGGGTGGCATGTCAGCTGGGCACTGAAGGGGTGTTACAGATGAACGATTTTCGTTGGGTCAGCCGCTCGTAAGATATTCGGTACAGGATTGCTGCCAGTACACTATTCCCCCACTGCCGTGCGTCCGTGTCAATATGTTCATAGGAAACCCGGTATGAAAAATATAGGACGGGAAAGTCTTTGTACTGCCCTTCACACAGTTCATCGCCAGTTGATAAGCAAATGTTTAAGCCACAGTGTGTGTTTGGCTGTTTTGAAACCTTATACTGTAAGGGGATTTTTCGGGTCTTCAGTCACCCAATAAAACACCACTGGAATTTCCCCGACATTCCTCTCCATTCGTCCAGTAAACTTCCTTTTTCAACTCTCGCTTGGGTTGCAGGTGCTGTACCGGTTATGAATCCTTCCCCCTCCGTTCATTTCATATTTGGAACCTTTGCAGCAGTAGCTACTGTTCTTTTTCAGAAATGCAGTTCCACCCAATAGGGACCTACCTCTTAGGAGACCATTCTCTCCCAGCCCCTCGAACTTTATCACTGGTGAGCAAAATGAACCTCTTCCCGAAAAAGGTAGCGGAAAATCTTGATAGTTTTGCCTCTACTACCCACCGCGTTCTATCAGAAATCGGGAAATGCGAACACTTTGACATGGCTATTAGTTTCTGCTCAGCTTCACAGAACCATGTTGTTTAAAGGCCTGGTTATTTTCGGTTTACCTCTTTGTGCTATCTAATGAGCTTGACAAGTGCTATCTCCGAACAAACGGTAGGTCTGACGGCTCATGTTTAGTACTATAAATCAAGTGATATACCATGAAACGTGCCTTCAGTAGCTTGGCGAAAGTTCATTTGTCTGGCTACTAATCCAGCTGACTAGCCTGGCTCTTTAGGAGAACACGTCATGGGCAGTAGCAGGTTCCTTCTCAAACTTGAAGGGAAAAGTCATTACTGAGTGAAGGCAAAGCTGCTATCGTGCATCATTGTGAAGGTTACAGCATAGTAGGAAATTAGCAAAGCCAAAGGACTTTTCGGTTTTCTTGAAAGGACTTTCGCAGTTCATTCAAGTCTTGGTGCGTGCATCCGTGAATCGATCCTACAAACTTAGAGTGCCCCTTCTGAGCCTCATTAGAACACACAAGTTTACCATCTCTATGAAAGCTTACCTTCTCGTGACCCATCGGAAACTAATTACTTCACTTCGAGATTGGTTATCAGGCAGAATTTCTCTGATAATGCGAGCCGGAAGAATACCAGGGTGTCGGCAATTTAAGCTGGGTTTATCCGGTTTAGAACACCAACACTGCTTCTCGTCGAGGAGGAAGCTAACCCTCTCCTTGTTAACCAACATTGATTTACCATGGAATTTGTTTACTAGTTTTTCTTGTATAACGTTCTTTCTGTGCTAACAAATCTGATGACGACCAATCAAGCAGCTCACAAGAATGTGGGTCAGTAAATAGCAGGTAAAAAGAAGCCGGTTTTAGGACCATGAGAAACGTCGCGATACATGTACTTCAGTCAGTGGAATTCTGCGAGCAAATTGGTCATTTAGGTCCATAGTGGCATCACATAATCGTTCATTGCACTAGAATTGTAGTTCAAATAGAATCAAATAGAGAGTACGATATCAAATGTAAACGGCCATAACGATTTTTTCATAGGTTGAATGCTTCACTTAATGTTCATTGGGTTTCCTCACAAAACCCGGGATTCGGTCTATTACCTCCCCCAGGAAGTATTTGCCGTATTCTTATTCGTATTCTCCACTTTTGCATGCTAATATTTTTACCTTGATGCACGTTAGCTAGACCGCACACTGAGTGCACAAACACAATGCTCTTGTAAGGCTGGGTCACATTGTTCATCCTGAAACTTCCATTTTTCTTGATCAGACCCTTCGCAAACGTTTGATTGACGCAATCGAAGACTCCTCAAATCTGGTGGCCTTCGGGGACGCCATTACCGCATGGATTGCTCAAGAGAAGTGCGTCATTTCTGGTTATTCATCAGTGTTCTTCCGCTTTTCATTGGCTCATTGTATTCTTCGGTGTTTCACTGTTTTTTGCTGCGATTAACACAGTTTGTCTGACCTTTTTCAGCTATTTTGCCTGTTTGGTCCTCTTGACTTCATTCTTATTGGCATTCCCTGTTCGTACAGTGATGTTGTTACCCAGACCATTCAGTAATTGAATGCTTAGCTTCACGTTCTTAGTAAGCGAATCGTGCAGTACGAGTCTCGTTGGTCCTATTCCATGAAGCAACACCATCGCGGTGTATAGGGCGAGATGGCCCAAGTGGTTAGAGCGCGAATTCGCTGACCGGAAGGTCCGTGTTTCGAATCCATCTCTGCCTCTCGACTTCTCCTGTCTAGGCTTGGGCGACCTGGCAGTATCCCAGCCCTCGTGCTTCCTTTGGGTGGCATGGCGGCTAGGTTCTGAAAGGGTGTTACAGTTGAACGGTTGTGTTTTTATTATCTAATTCAAATGGCATCAAACAAGATCCTCGAGCCACTGTCACATTCTATCACAACGTGTTGCCTTATCAGTAACTCCTCCAACTGAGGTGTATATCTATTCGCGATCTGCTTGAATGCACCAACTTGAAATATACATGCCCACTTGCATCTCCAAGTGGTTGCCGTTGAATCTCGCACCCAACGTGGAACGTGCTTTTTTACAAATTGCCCTTAAAAGCCACTCAGTTCATCCTACTCTCAACTGTAGCATCCCCTTCAATACTGTATTCCGTCCAAATTGTTGCCGGAAATCCGTTCTACGCGCTAGTCTGAAAGTTACGTCGCTCTGCCTTGCTCCATTCTCCTGTGAATATGGTTAGGTTTCAGGTGGGGAAATCCCCTTCCATTCGTGAATCGCAGCTGTGGGATATAGTCACCCCTATTTCCATACCCTGTCAATCTGGCGACGGTTACGTTGAATTCGGCACAGTTGCACACTTACGAAAAACCAAGTAGCGACAGATCCAGGGGGTCAACAAATCGATACTGTTTTTTGTACCAAGCAGTGGACAGCATAGAGTGCAAACCTGGCAATTACAAGATTTAGGTTAGGGAAACGCATGTTTCCGGTATTTGCGAGATCCACTACGGCCCAGGTAATCCTATCACTTCTCCTCAGTGTCCACGCTGTGAAGATACTTTCCCACTCAAAGTCTACCGATTTAAAAGAATTCCAAAGTGATTCTACTGGAAGGCATGTTAAAGACATCAGCATGGCTATCTGCTAGGTGGTGCTCGGCCACAACCGTGTCACTGCAGCGATTAAGCTAGAAATATATTCTGGGTATTGGTTCTTTGAGTTTGTACCACCGTCTGTACTCCCTCAGTGTTATAAAGGCCTGCGGCGAAAGCAATCTCATTTCTGGACAATGTACACTCCTGAGGAAAGACATTTGTGGCACACAAATGTGGATTTGACTTTTCTGCACTGTTCGGTTGTTGTTTATCTGGGCGTCAGTATTTATCAATAGCAAATCTCTCTCTAGTAATCACTGAATAAATTACAGCTACAGTAAACGTCCCTCGTGGAATTACTTTCGGTTCACTCTCAAATTATTTCCTAGATGGGATGTGTCCGTTTGAGATGGTGGGCAATGAGGACCGCACTGCGTGTTTCCTATACCCAAACTGTAGTGTTGCATTTATATCCCGGTGTTTTAAAAAACCCTTGTATATGAGTGATGGGTTTCTCTGCCTCATCGGGACTGAATTCTTCCTACATATCGGTGATTGAAGTACTGGTACTGCATGCTGAATCCCCATAATTTACCACTCATTGAGCTGGTCCTGTTTATATCTATCTCGTCTCAGTTACCTACACCAGCGTATTGGCCTACTAGTTTGGGTTAAAATTAATGACGGGTATAATTGGTAAATTCCATCACTTATTGACATATTGAGGGCACTTTCTTTCTAATGTCCCTTATTCTGTTTACTAAAATGTCTAATTTGCCTGGTAGCCTTATTATTTGACGTCAAGGGGGAAATGTGAAAATATCCTTTATAGGCAGAGGGCGCTGTCTTGGGGTTTCAAGTGCACCCTTGTTCTGGTGGCCAGTGTGTTCCTCCCACTTCATACCCTTGACTGCTGTAGTCATTTCCTCTCATGTGCTTACACAATGATTGACGTTCCGCCTCACAACACGATAGATCATAATCGTGCTCACATGTGCATCGTTCTGACATACTCCACTCGATTTTGAACTACCCTGGCGAACTGACTGCACCTCTGTTGACCCCACTCGAACTGACTAGGTTTTCACCAGGGTCAGCTGCCTGGCCTAAAATCGAACCGGCCACACCAATAGCTTACGAGTGCTCATTGAAACGAAGCCGTCGTATCCCACTTGACAGGATTTCGAGTAGTCCCTCCTGCAATTTGTAACCGCATTGGCGACAACCAATAGCTACTAACTGATCAAGCTCTCGGCAAAGAAAAGTATTCAACTGGTCGCCTGACTTTTCCTTCTGAGAACGCATCACTCAGACAGTTAGTCTAGCCGGGTCACGTGATGTGAGCTGTCATTTGAAGATATGGGTGCCATATCCCATCTATATGCTAGCCAGTCACATCGCTGATCAGCCACTCGTGGCCGGAGTCGTATAGTGTTCAGCTACGAGATATGATTTCATTGTTTCGAACCATTCCGGAGATTCTTGGAATGAGCGTTGCTACTTATATCCCCAACAAACATGGGACAGCTGTACAGTCCTTCTAAGGATTTCAGCCTAGACTGACTTCACTTTNACTTTCAGCAGGAAATTTCGAGTGAAACTTTCAAGTTTCCTCTTCACTTACAAACAAACAAATGCTTGCCACGTGTGAACCGTGCATCTCAGGCTATGATATGCTATATTCTAAGGCAGAACTTCAATTACTGTGTAAGCACAAGAATTTCCGTCGTAACCACGCCTGGTGAATCGAACATCCGAAAGCTAAAGCAAAGATAATTTCGGGCTATGCAAGTGACTGACTCACTCTTATAGAGGAAAGACCACAATGAAAGTATCTCATGCTATTCGCTTAGATTTGCTGTTGACTACCATTTTGAACTCTGATGTGTGGCCATCTTTGAAGCTTTCTACGACCTTTCTCGACATGACATCCTTTAAATGTGTAATTATACTCAGGTGTACCTCCGTCATCACTTGGGTGTTCCTTGTTTGCCTAATTGTGACTTGAGGATGAACAGTGAGCGGACTCAACTTCTGAGAGTTTCTATCAATGAGTATCCATGGGAGATGTTTGGACTGAGAGTGTGATTAGGCCTTATGAATCCGCCACTCTGAGGCAGTGAAGCACCGGTGTTACTCATTAGCGTTGTCAATGAGCAAGACGACGAGTACAGTGGAAACATGTGTGACTGTCGTTATATGCACGAAACTGCAACATTTCCGCAGCATGTTACATTGTCCGCTTTTCGTGTAGAATTCCAATTGAGGCCCCAAACAGGATTAAATAACTTTTTCAGTGCCAACGTGCATGTCTTGAGCGCACCTGGGGTTCAGTATTTAATAAATTGAAGAACTAAGGACTATAAGTGGTAAGATTGAGTGTGAACCCATTCCGTTGTCTGACGATTTGTATCAATGGCCATGTTTTCACTCTTTCGACTTCAAGTCTAGAGTTTACAACCCTTCTCCTTTCATTCCTGTAGATCTCTTTGGGACTACTGTCCCCAGTTAAGAGACTTGAACGGTACCGTTTAGCTCGTCCAGCTTTGCATTTCGGTGACATGCTGACTGCCACTCGGTTTTCATTGATTGATTCTATCTCTTACTTAGCAGATACACTTTTGAAGTCCTTGAACGTCTCCGAAATGAAAACGCCTGTCTTCAACGTACTAATCAAGCAAACCAAAGCTACCGCGCCCAGTTGGAAAAAGTTCGACTCGTTCTGGTAATTCTTGCCGCCTTACATTTTGTGAATCGGTCTACCTACTAACAAGCGTGTCAGTAGCTCAATTGTTTACAACCCTTGCATGATGCTTGTGTCCAATCCTGCTGAGGCTGTACTTCCGTACGCCACATACAATGGGTGCATGTCTCGTCCAATACGTAACAGTAAAATTGGAAACCACATCAGGGGTCATCCAAGAATCAGTTGTCTGTTTACCAACTTACCTCTTCCTCGAGGGCACCCCATGGGGTTCTTGACTTCTGGTCTTGAAGTGATCTGTATTTTCTGATTTTGCTGGATAAGTTCGTCCTTGGATGTCTCTGCCAGAGGTAAGCTCTATGTTTTCTACAGGGGGGGGGCACGGCAAACATACCCCTTCGGTATAGCTTATCTGTGGCCAACCCTCACATGTGCCCAGTTGTTATCTTAACCTCGGGCTGCGTTCCTGTTCTTCCACAGCATAGCTACCTGGATGATTGTCTGGGTTCCTTACACCTACTCTTTGGAGCTGCGTCACATACGTCATCATAAGCGTCCAATAACGTAGTCCTGGTGCGTAGTGATAAACTTTTCCGATACCTTATTGGTTTTACTGTACAAGAGAACACTGCTTCTAAGAGCTTGTCGCGTCATTTTGATGATTACCCCATCTAGCATGTTGAATTGGCCTTCCATGAAAGAAGACTCTGAGAATAAATCAGGTAAATGGGGAGGTTCCCATTCCACCTGAACGGGAATTTAGTGGCTTCAAGTGTCAAGCTAGGGTATTCGTTGTAGTATTCTTGAGGATGCATAGACGTACACCGGTTGACTTGGATACTTACATTCATCAATGTCATTTGGTCGGCTTTTTCCATGTGACGCTTATTATTTACCTCATCGCTCGCTGTTCTTCACTTTTCACCCCCTCCCTCTTCAGTCTCGTCTGGATTCGCTCCCAAATGACTTCGTTGAGATCGATTTGTCTGAACTGCTACGAACCATGTGCCCAAATACACCAGCCACACCATACTCAACCGGAACCGATGATTGTACCAAGACCAGCCAATCAGACGCTGACCTGTTGGTACAGCAAATAATCGGTTTGGTCCAGAAACAACTGAAGCAATTCAGATGTCGTGAGGATGAATGTCGTGCAGCGTTGGAGGCGGCGAATCGAGAACGCAAAGAAATTTGGGAGGCTTCTTTACAACAAATGGGCACACTTGACACAATGGTTGCCGATCAGCGTCAACTACGTGCTTGTGAAACGAATTTGAAACGAGAAATACAGGTTGGTGTACCTTCTTATGTAGTGACTTTTAGGTATAGTCTGTTCGTCTTTTTTGTCTGAATGTTCGGACCTATTATTAGCTTTTTCAGTCTTAAGGCACTGGTGCTAATCCCTCCGTTGATGGCAGAACACAACGGGACTAAATTCGTTTTTCGGTTGTGCTTCAATATAGCTTAGCTATACCCGCAAGTGTCGATCTGCCACAATCCTTTCTCGTGTGCTCAGCATAGCGATGCACCTTTGATGGAAAGCCATTAGGCGCGAATGGCCATGCTTGAGATCACCACTGTGAAGTGAGGATATCATGCTCGTCCCTTCAGTTGCTAACACAACTAATACACATTTTTCGCGGAACGCTTCCCATGATCATTCAGTCTCACCACGTCAGTCTTGCTGCTGTGTATTACTTATTAAGGATTCGCTCACTAGAGGAACTACTTTATCTTGAATTTGAACACCACACTGACTATTACTCGTTTGTGATATGCTAACCTGTACAGTATCCGTTTCCACCTGCACCGTCTCTCAGTATTTTTATTAATGCATGACTATCATAGTCTCACTTCTTTGAATAACTGCAGACTAACATGTGTAGAAACAGCGAAGCCACTCAATAGATCGCCCACATACACCTGCGGCCCACTATTCCTCCGATATCAAGCTTTGTTGTTCACCCTACTTTGTTTCCCCTCTACCCCAATCCAGGAGCTCAGGCAGAAACTTCTCAACGAAAAGGACTATCAAAGAGATCTGCGTAATCAATGCTTGCAGTATGAGGATAAATACTTTTCCATACGTGACAGACTGGAAGAAGAAAAAAAGGTAACGTTTTTTTCTCGCGTATCTTATTGAGATTCGTTCTGTTTTCAAACTTTAAAAAATATGTGTAAGCTTTTTTAGAGCGATGCTACAATCCATACGTAGACTACTTGCCAATAGGTCAGTCCTCATACCGGAACGATGCCAATGAAGAGCATTTATTTCAAGCTAAATGGCGTCGAATCGCCCAAGCCTAACAAATACCTAACATGCGACTTGGTTTGTTACATGAGATTTTGTGAGCCAGACTCCCACTGGCCTAATAACGCACAAGTGTGTTGACTTACTCAACTCCTTTCGAATGCACGTATAGTGATCTTCACCCTTTTATCTGTCAATGTGGCAACCGCAGCTCGTTTTGGAGCAACTACCTTGAATGAAGAAAAACGCCTCGAACGTTGGACAAATACTTCGAACAGCTTTGGTCACCAACTGCCACCCATCTGAAGCCAACAGTCGACATGGAACTGACTACGGTCTTGGAGTTTTAAGACTGCATATGTTCGCTCAAACGCCACCAAGCTTCTGGTCTGAATGACCTCCCAACCGCATTGCTCACAGATGGGGGTGAAGTCCTTAGTCAGCGCTTGTCTGATCTGTTTGCTTGCATTTGGGAAAAGGAGACTATTTCAGACAAATGGGGGAGGAGTCGGTGATATTGCCCATTTGAAAAAAACGGGCTCGTAGTGAGTGTGGTAACGGCAGTAGAATCAGCTTGACTCCAGTCGTAGCGAGACTTTTGGCATCACTAGCGCTTCATCGTCTTATGGTGGCTTGTAAAACACTGACTCGAGAGCAGCAAGCGGGATTCCTGCCAGGGAAAAGGCTGCATTGACCAAATCTTCACACGTTGTCAGATGCTAGAACAAAGTCATTCGTACAAACGACCCACAATTCTAGTATTCCTGGATTTCCGAGGCGCATTCGACTCGGTTGATCGGTCTGTTCTTGAGACGCTTGCCCACCAAGAAATGCCCCGGAAGTTTGTAAACATAATACGCTCTTTGTATTCTCAAATTTCCGGGTGTGTGTGGGCATACGGATAGCTCTCCAAAATCTCCCGTACATAGAGCGCTATCCATTAGGGGTTGCCCAATTTCTCCATTCCCATTTAATTTCGTATTCAATGAGATGATGAGAAGAACGCTGGTAGGCCTTCAAAACCCTGCTGACGAAAACCTTGTCGATTTGAAATGTGCAGGCGACATCATTCTCGTCTTCGAAGAGGAAAGGTAGGCGCAGGTGTTTTTATATGAACATCCCATCCTTTGATATGCACTATGCACCCGTAAGGTGTAAGATTATGCCCCTGGACATTCAGTCACTAGACACGCCAATTACAATCCAGGGCAAAGGCATTTGGAGTTATGGAACGTTGGCAGGTGAGGTCATTGCCTGAATCTGCAAGACTCGGGTCGCGTTTGCTGATTTGAGGCACCTACGGCGTTAAAATGGTGTATCCCTGAATCTCAAGGGATGTGTTTATCGGGCTATAGTACGAACTGTTTTGTTGTATGGCTGTGAGACTTGGCCCGTTCGAGCGGCAGGACTGAGGCGTGTTTAGGTGTTCGACAACCGTTGTCTCATAACCATACCTCATGTGGGTTGGTGCTGGCGAATCTGCAACGAGGCACTTGGAAAGCGAGTTTACTTTTCTTCTCCCCAGTAAATCATGGATGTACGGCAGCGAAGGATCAGTGTTGAACACTGGTGTGGTACTGTCAATGGTGATGATGGAGTCGTTCGTCTAGACTAGGTGCATAAGAGGCATAGTTTCACCTCCGTAAACAGCTTGCGTACCAACATGAGCCTCAGTTAGAACCCAGTAACCATTCGGTTGTCATTGGTTTCCCTCTACCAGTACGGGTTCGTGTGTCATGGGCACATCAATTTGTCAGGCTGATGAGTGCAGCATGTTTTGGTGCGTAATCCTTTTTTACTTCCTATTTTTAATAGGGCATTGCTGTCTAGCTTTGATAAGAGCAAAGCCTAAGTTCACTTTCTTCCTTTGCTGTTTACTCTCCAAGAGAATCGTTTTAGTACCCCGACTACTCTAAATCATATGTTTTTGCACTTTGTAATATTTTGTATCATTGTGGCTTTAACCTTTCTCTTCCAGCGATGCTCTGATATGCAAGCACAACTGCGAGAACTTACGATGAACAAGGATGCAGCCGAAGCATTACTTCGTGAAACTAATTTGAAACTAGACAGATTGCAACATTCGCAGGACAATGCGGTAGGTTTTCACAGAGTGATAGGTTATCTTTATTCGCAAATCTTTATGCCGAATTAAAGTAGCAGTGTTCAAATATCGAAATCCCATTTTTAATTGAAGTTTCTGCGCCAGAATAAGATGTCTGATGATGATTATATGTGTTGTTGCCTTTTGAGTCACTGATCCTTTACGTGTATTTGCACCATTGCGAATTCGGACGGTCAGAAGAACTGCTCGTTCGATGACAATGATTTACAACTGGTATGGGGAGTGGCCCTTCATAGCTTCCACCAGGAATAGAGTGAACGTACATTGTTACTTATCTTCGAACTGGTCTGCTTTCCTTAAGCCTATTCCAACTTCTAGGTGAAATTCCGGTGATATTTGTATCTGCCTTGGGGGCGTGAGGTAGCTCTAGGCTTTGCAACCGAGGGAAGAGTTGGTAGCTCAGGTTATCGTCAATAGTTGATGGGCTTATGCTGTACGACGGGCGTCAGGGTCAGCGACATTCCTACGAACGATCGAAGAGTCACGTAATAGTTCATTAATTAGGTATGTTCGCTGATGGTCCCTAAGTGTAACTCATCCGGAAGTACATGGTTATTAAAATGGCGTCCCGGTGTTGACTCCGCTTAACCGGGGAGCGGAGATAACTGGCTGAATGCTTTGATAAGCATACTGACCGCAGAATCGTAGTAATAACCCTCACTGATATCTCTATCAAGCGTTTGAAAATTTCTGTATTTCTCGCTTGCAATACCGCGCCCGTGTATTCCCTGTGTGTTTAAATTTACTGTGAATATTACGGTTTGTCTACCTAACCCACTTAGACGTCGCTCTATCTAAGCAATTGTGTGCGTCTGCGCTTATCGATCCATTCGACAAGAAAATCAGTTGTCAGATTGAACAGTCTTTCACAGCTGTAACTACTAGATGCACGTGCATCACTATGCTTCCAAGCCCTCGGGTCATTGGTTCGATATTTACTTTGATCTCCTCATCTGTTCAGATTTATCTTGCTTCGTTTGACATTTTCGTAACGTCTGCCGCAGTATATGACCTGCAGTTCACCAAACATATCCTCATTTTTGTTGACTGCTTCCCACACCATCTTGTCGACGCATACTTCTACGTGTAGCACAGGTAGAGCGCCCTTCTGTCACTGTGAAATACACTGACCCGACCAGCATATCCGTCTACTCTGTGAATGCCGACGCGAAATACGATTAGAACCGAACCCGCGATCCAGTCAGCTTCCAACGAAGCAGCAAACGTCAAATCTATGACTAGTTAATAGATGTTAATGCCGTCCTAGGTAGACTGGCGTTATGTACGAGAACGCCTTGTGCATACAGGCTTCATTCTTGATGAATACAAATCAGTGGAGTATTGGAGATCCCAGATGTAGAAGCCTCGCTTCTTTGCATAGAAGCTTTCGACTCATAATGTGAGATCACCTTGGAATTGACTCTTCTACCACCTTTTGCCTAGGCTCAATGCTCGTCTTATCAATTTTGCATTGTATACCTTTAAGAGCACACACAATATCCGTATATTTAGGCACCGTAATGCGCGACTGCTTTGAGCTGCCGCCTTAGTTTTATGTCTTAGTAGGGAAAACCTACCCATCACCGTAAGCTTGTACCGCATCCTCTCCCTGTACGGGCTATTTCTGAATACTGTTGCCGGGAGTACTTCACTGATTCATTTCAAGTAGGCAAGGTGCACAACTGGAAATAACGCACAGCTTTCATGAAGCCAGCATGACTGTTTCATGTCATGATTCAGCCGGATAGAATGCTTCAATACATAATTACAAAAGGAATCGTACATTAGACTGTTTCACAGCTGATTTTCAAGATGTCTGTATATACGTGCAGCTAATTTTGATGCATACACCAAGTAACAGGTTCCTCGTGATGCTGCGTTACAAGATACGTATAAAGCCTTGTGTTTGTTGTCATAGGCTTCAAACTTCCTCGGTCTCCCCTCACCCATATCAATTCACTTCGTACGTTCGGAATGAGAAGCCACGCAGCATTAGTATTCGCACGCTTCAGTTACAGCGGTGAATTATTTTGGTTCATATCACGGTGCAAAATCTACTACCGTGCTTTGGTGGCCCTCTTTTTTCTTAGCCAGTCCTGTATTGTGAGTTCACAAAATTTTCAACATTTTTCGCAACCCTTTCGGGCCTTTGCAAACATTTACCGCTCGCTTTTGGGCCAATCTTGTCATGCGCATTTAACAAACATCTTCAAATGCTCGATTTTTGTCTTTCCACCGCTTCATCGTTGCTGTGATAAGCCCAGGACACTTCACAGTTTTGTGATTTGTTCACTGACCCAAAAAACGTCTCAGGATTTGTCTGACCCATTTTAGCTCAGTGGTAAGAATTACACACAAATCCTCTAATGGATCGGTATGCATGTCCATTCCACCTACTCGTACATATGTTTTGCATTCGAACCCGATCTCATAGGTCATCGACCATCTTCGAAGCGAACTGGAATTAGTCAAAACACAGCTTCAGCGTAGCGAGATAGATCGAACAAGTGCCGAACAGCGAGAACAGACTGTGCGGTAAGTTCATTCTTTCCTTACAAACTGAGTATCACTCAAGTTGGACAGCTCCCAATCCTTTCATTGAGGAAAACTGTTTCTGGATAATCCAATTCATTTTCCAGTATCCGTCGTTATGTACCAAAGGAGGATTGAGTATCAAGTAATGTAGGGCTGTTGAGCGAGCTGTAGATAGCTTATGGTTTTCGGTGGTCACTCCGTGAGCAGAATGCATGTGGCTCGATTCCAGCCCCAAACTCTGAATGTATGTATGGGTTTAAGCAGTTTAGTGGTACCTTAGCTTCCGTATTTCCTCGAGGGATACGTAAAACCCGTGCACCGAAATGGCGCAACTGATGAGTGAATTAATTTGAAGATTGTTATGCTGAGATGAGTCCTAAGCAATGAAATTGATAGTGAAATGTCGTTGCGTTTCCATCAACCTCATAGGTGAAACTTACTCTGCGGAATAGATGTAGTATATTTTACCCACCTACGTTAGTCTGTAAAGCATTTATTTGGAGTTGGAGCTCTAACACGACGTTCCGTTTACTCTTTTTCAGCGATCAACTATCCGATTGCGAACGCCAGCTGGACAATAGTCGACATGAAGCGAATCTTCTACGTGATCGTTACGAAAGGATGAAAGAGGCTACAGCCGAACTCGAGGCATGTGTAAGTTACCCTCGCCCTCGTCGACTGATCGGGTGTATTTGGGTGATTGGAATAAGTTTGGAACCGATTGGGGAGTTATCGTTTCAGAAAGGTTTGGTAAGCTATCAGTGGACCTCTATCTGGGCAACTTTCCTTTCGAATAGCACATTAGATGCACTTTGAATGTTGGTTGGAAGGTCTTGTCGTTGCCCAAATCTGACAGCAGTTAGGATAGGGATTTCAAACCCGGCTGTCAAGCCAGAGCAGTTCCATTCATCAACTTCGATAAGTTTTAGTAACTCAAAAGTATAGGGCTGATCTGGCTAGAAAACTACTGGAAGCGCACAGGCATGCAGACGACGAAGATGCCTGGAGGTACTTTGAATGTTGGTTGGAAGGTCTTGTCGTTGCCCAAATCTGACAGCAGTTAGGATAGGGATTTCAAACCCGGCTGTCAAGCCAGAGCAGTTCCATTCATCAACTTCGATAAGTTTTAGTAACTCAAAAGTATAGGGCTGATCTGGCTAGAAAACTACTGGAAGCGCACAGGCATGCAGACGACGAAGATTGCCTGGAGGTTGAATGGAAGCAGGTTAAAGAAGCTATGCTCTCAGCTTTCAGTACTGTTTGTTCAAACCATCTGAATCGACTAAATGAACACTGGATGTCGTCGAAATCGGCAGATTCTATTGCTGCCAGCAGCGAGCGACTGTGATGGCGCACGCAGGACCCTCGAACACCGAGTAGTCGAGAGCTTGAAGAATGACAGAGGACGCTGGTGGATTCCGAGAGCTTTCGCTGTAGGCAACAGCCGCGCACTATTTCAGCTGATTCGATCAACTGGTCAAAAGAATACAATTATCAGCGAAATAGTATGCGAAAGAGACGGAACAGCAATTCGTTCGCAAAATCGTCGTCTTGCGCGATGGGTTGAACACAGAACAGTTCAGCTGTTCCCCTAAATGGAACCCAGCCCACCAATGCGACAATACACCTGGCCTGGATGATCTGTACCCCGTACTCTTCAAAGAAGTTGGCGACATCCCGGTGAAGTCTGACAACCTTAACGCTGAAGATTTGGAATGAAAACAGAGTATCGGCCAAGTGGAACTACTCGACCGTCATCCCAGTCTTCAAAAAGACCGCTTCAACGTCGTGCGAAAACCATCGTGGTATCAGCTTGATATCCGTCGCATTTAAGGTACTCCCTGGTATTAGTGTGCGTCCTGAAAGATACTGGTACTCAAGAGAGTAGGGAGACGTGGGTGTGTTTTCTAAAAGCAAAAGCCACACCGTGCAGACTCGATTTGTCATTCAGACCGCTATGGTAAATCCTGTAGGAAACTTCCATTCTTTGTACTTTGATGCATTGTAAGACTAAACAAGGAATCCATACCACTGAAAGACATTCAAAGTCAATGTGGTAGTCAGAGAGGCTTCTCACAGTGAGACTCGCTTTCCAACTCAAGCAGAATATGGATACTCCCCCATCCTGATTTTTCCAGGATGGGGGGAGGTCGAGCTTACACATCTATCATTATGGTTAGGCTGCCTTCGGTAGCATCGTGTACCGTGAACGCTGGAGTATGGAAAAAGCTTCTCATCTGGTGTATATTCGTGTTGTAGCACGATGATTTGTGCCCACTCAACATCCTCAGCGCCACACGGCTTTTGTTCAAGGGTGCACCCCTAGCTTTTGTACAACCAACTGCGGACTTCGGGGCAGCGCGGATGTGTGGAGAGCAGAACCATCCGAGAGGCCGCTGGAGCACGCCCACTCGATCAGATATGGTGTTTTTTCGAGTTCGCTTCTAATCCATGCGATTCCAAGTGCAACCCAAAGGGCAGCAGGATTCCATGATCGCTAATGACAGTTACATGGTTCGTACACCAATTCCATAGTACCAATACTGTCCAAATGTTCGTGTTCTCGTGGCGTATGGAATCCCTTTGTGGTGGGGTAACATTCGGCGTGTGATATCGTCATTGGACTCATGTTGAATTCTGCTTGAGATCCGGAGAGAGTCCATCACGGACTGGTGACACCATCACCAGAGCCTCGTACAGTGGATGTCACACCATGTTTATCACCGTCAGTTTAGGATGAGGAGGGAATGTACTTTGCCACAACCAAACACTAAATGTGCATATGGTATTTCTCCCTTTTGGTGGGATCTTTGAAGACTGCAAACTATTAAATACCTGAATGCTTCCGCGCGGTTTAACGTGTGAAGTGCAGTGTTCCTACGGTCTGGAATGGGGCCCGTTATGTATCTTCGGGGCGATAACTGTTATGCTCGAAAATCCCCAGCCACTGTGTTGGCCCAATCACTGCTACCACAGAAGAAAAGATGATACCTTCAGGGGACAACCTTTTTTCAACCCGGGGCAATCCACAGGCACCCTTCCGGTGCCTAGCTGCCATGCTACCCGAAGGAAGCACGAGGGCTGGGATACTGCCAGGTCGCCCAAACCTAGACAGGGGAAGTCGAGAGGCAGAGGTCGGGTTCGAACCACGGACCTTCCGGTCAGTAAATTCGCGCTCTAACCACTTTGACCATATACAGTGAGAGCAACGCCATATATATATA